CTTTACAGTCCAACAGCCTACTAACAGTACCTTCATTTAAAACATTGTATATAGTTTGCTTTACAATATAGACACGGCTTAGTTCACTGTTTGAGATTGTCAGACGTTGGCTAGTGTGTGCGTTTATTTGACGCTGCAAGTGTGTGTGTGTGTGTGTGTGTATGCTGCGCGTGCTACGCAGGCCGTATATATAGTACGCGATTGATCGATTGTTACATCAAAAGCCGCCGCGTCACGCCGTGGCCTTGAGGCTAGTTTTCCCTGTCCATAGAGTTGTCAATGTTGCAATGGATCGCGAGCCCTGACTGAGTATCTATTCTAGCCCAACTCTAGTTTCAGTAGCCAATTGAGAATCCAGCTTTCATACACCCTTCGTCGTATCTTTAAAACAATGGCAGACCTTTTAAGGGTGTGATTTTTAGTGGAGCTCTCCATCATGCCTCTTAAGGGTGTGATTTTTTAATGGAGCTCTCCATCATGCCTCTTAAAAGGGTGTGATTATGGAGCTGAAAAAGTCCCCCTATGGTGTTCTAGGGGAGTCATTAGTAGTCCTCCTGTACTTTTCAAAATTGAAAGCCTGATATAGTGTTAACAACTTCACACTATTCTGCTCAGAAAACTTTTGCCACTTGAACATCGGCTAACTAACTGAACTGAACCTAACTGATGTTAGGTGATTCTAAGAGATTTTCTTTTAAAATAAAATACTCTTAGAGCCACAGGAATGGCATCTGTTTGTTAGTTGAAAACAATCAACTAAAACCAGGGATACTGCAACATGCAGGTTTTGCCACACATATTGATCACGAATAAAATGACAGAATTATGCACTGTAAACAGATGATTCATACACCTAACAACCATCCTGTAATTAAAACTTTGTAGCATTGAGAACAATGAGAACAATGTGAACATGTAGACAATGAGAACATGTATATAATGAGAACATGAGACATGAGAACATGAGAACATGAGAACATATATGACATAATGAGAACATGAGACATAATGAGAACATGTAGAACAATGAGCATTGAGTTTGCGCAATACTGGGCCAATTAAAACTGTCAAGTTTATTCCCAGCTTAAGTTCCGCTTCCGGCCAGGTATAGTTCCGGCTGGAACTTTTTTCAAGTTCCGGCTGGTTCTGGTTCAGACCGGAACTTAAAAAGTTGGATCCGGTGCACCCCTAATTTTGATTGCAAAAAGTCGCTGTAACCCCGTAAGTAACAAGCGCATCATAGCACAATGATGATTACAAGAAGGCGGATGTATACTGATTCATTTGGTATATCACATGTGAAGTGTTCTTTGGCGATACTTGGCAAATAGGACAACTACGTGTTTAGCTGCAGCCAATGTTTGAAACAGTCTTCTAACCCTAGCAAGACTGTTTCTTGGAGCTAACTAGGGCCCCGTAACCTTCCAAAGGCAAAAGTGATGAATTTTTATACAGCTACTTTTTTAATGCTTTCTAACTGCATTATAATGAAATTGACACCTAATAACTAATAATGAGAGATAATGTGTTTGAGAAGCTGATAATGTATCGCAAGTGTTTTGCGACGCAGGTAAGATGTATTTTACTTTATTTACTGTATTTACTGTATTTACTGTACAGCCACACATCACATCAAGTGTTTGTATGGCTATCAAGGGTTAGGCAGCTTGTGCTTATATAAAACCCTGAACTGTCCAATAGCGGCCTAATTCGATTTTAAATGAGAGCATCACCCCTCAGGAAGATGTTACACTACTCACTTCTTTAGATGGAGCAGGAGGAGCGCTGTAACCACCACTGCCAGCAAGAGCCTTGGCTTTCTTTGTCAGTTCCGGAGCATGTGCCCCATCTAACCTGTCGATGGCAGCACCACCCTGAACAGGCAATAAACATGAAGCTAGAGGTCAAAACAAACTACATCACAGGCATATAAGACATCTACATGGTTACCCACTTGTGTTATTAATATTAATAATTGAGTACAGTAATAGAGTAGAGGCGGTATTAAGTTGATAAACTCATATCGGATCCAACACGCGGATAGAACTTCATCATTATTCCTTGCTGTGCATAACGAGAAAACTAAAATAAGCAAATTGAAAACAAACGCCTATATAAACTAACTGGTATAAACAATATAGATATATATATTACCTTAGTAAATATAAATGTTGGAACAGCTGCGACTTTGTACTGGACTGATAATTCTGGCAAAGCCTCTGCTTCAGCCTGAAGATAAATAAAGCCATTGCTGACTGAGGACCAGCCTACATGTTATACGGTTTAGGCCAAAAGAAAATATAGGTGTGGTTACGGTTTCCCGACCGACCCTATTTATTCCAAGCTACTCTAAACATTTTATTCAGTTTAAAAAATTTTAAATTTTAAATTTAAAAAATAAAAAATAAAAAATAAATTTTTTCCAGTTCCTGCTTCAAAAGACACATCCTTCGGACATGGTCGTAAATAAAATATTTCAAGAACATAAAATGTTTTCCCTACCTACCTACCCTATTTTTTTCGGCATGAAACGGTAACCACACATATATTTTGTTTTGGCCTTAGTGACTTCACTAATCACTGCCAAAAACCATTGAGGTTTCCCCTGCAAATTTGTAGATTTGAGTCACGTGCACCTTGCGTAAAAAACAAGACTTTTTGTTGTCATACACGACTATGCACTCTCACTGTTCGCTAACAAAAAACACAACAGCTGTCTTCACACAGTCAACATAGCTGCTGACTGGTAGACTAACTATCACTCTGTCAGTATGGCATGAAAAAATGTATAATGTAAAGCTATAGGTGTCTAGGCCATTACGATATATATGAAAACATGACAACCATACCTTGACAAATTGAATGCATGATAACTTTGGATCCTTTGCCAGTTCTTCAAGGACTTCGTTCATCTGTTCGCATTGAGGAGCCCATGATGCCCAAAAATGTACGACCAGCAACCTGAGGCAGAAATTTTCACAGCAATATTAGAATAACAAGTAGTAAAGAATTAATAATCTATTAATAACTATTAACAAATATCTATTAATAACTTATTGTAGTGGAGTGATTACTTTTTTTGTCTCTCGATGCTATTAATTCGGTAATTGCATCACAACTACATAATCGTTCATGTTGAAATAGCAGATAGTAGTTTTTCCACAGTGCTGCAAATAAAACTGTACATGGAGGGCATTGGAAGCAGAAAAAAATGCTTCCATAGAGCTAGTATTATTTGGGGACTAGGTCTATGCCCTGCCTTGTTTTCACTCTGGATGAACACCAGTTTGATTACACCAATAAATTGTGCCCTAGAAACTTTTATAATCTGACGCTATACTAGGGCCCTAGCCCGACGAGGCTGTGCGACCGATTGTCTATACAGCCTGACACCCTTCCATGCAAAAAAACCTATCACCTATACAGATCTAGCTCAATAACTCTGTATATCTCAAATAAAACTATTCTATTGCCATCTTTGACTTGCCTTGTTTGAAATATGAACGTTAACTCACAGTTGTCCTGCTTCTAAACTAGAATGTATCTCTTAATTCACGGCATAATCTGCTAATTCTCACAGCATATCAGATTAATTCCACAACTGTTTAACCGCCATGTTTACACTGCGCATGCTCAACAATTGAGACACAGAACACCCAAAACGGAAAAGACTCCGCGATGCAGTTATTGATACTATAATTATAGTACTTAGGCACGAGCACATTAAAAAAAATATGTGAAAAACAAAATTAAAAACTTAAAGACAAAACTAATTAAAAACAAGAGCCGCAGAGCGACTGGGCTCATCTGAGGTCTGTTGCTACGGTTATAAACGTAACATTTAAGTCGTGCGTAGTGACACCTTTGTTAGGCGCAGATATGCAGATATGCAGTTGCGTACACATCATTTCAGCAACCCTCTGCATTCTGCATACCTCCCAAATCCCATTGGTTGATACAAATTGCCTGAAACTCCTGTTTTATGGTGCAATGTGACCCTAACCCTAACCCTATTTAAAAATATAAAAAATTAATTGTTTTCAAAATTATTTGTTGTTATTAAATTGTTGTAAATAAATCATGTAAATATTTGCGTTAATTGGAAAAAAATAGTTAAACGGATAAAGATAGAAAAATACAGAAAACAGCAGACCTTGTGTTTTAAGGTGCGCTATCGCGCTCGCGCGCCATCACGCGCCTCGATTGATCAGAAGAAGTGCGAAAAAACGCGCATCTAAGCATTATCAAAACGCACACCTTTTTTTTGTGTTTTATTTTTCATTAATTCAATTTATAAACTTGAAGATAAACGCAAACAGTTGTAAACATCACGGACATTGCCGGAAGTCGGTTCACATGTTTATAACGACAGTCGCAAAGCGCTCTAGAACGACGAATGTGATTGGTTGTATTTTTAGATAAAGTTTTAATAGTCTGCTTTGAAAAATTGAGTTTTGTTCCTTTTTGACTAAACATGCTAAATGTGTGATTCAAGTTATCTTCATGTTCAAGAACTGATATTTTGTTAGATGAAAAAAAAATCACCTAAAAAATGTCAAAATTAAGAGTACAAATGCAGAGCTAATTTTCATCCTAAAATGCTGGAAATGGCATTTCATGAAGTCTAGTTTTCAATTTTTTTCCCGGTGGGGGCATGCCCCCGAACCCCCTTAGTTAGCCTCGTGCCCTGTGGGCACTCTGATGCAAATCACACACCTCGGCGAGCCAAGGTGTGCGATTTTTCACTCGCCTGCCTTTTCCAAAACACAAGGACTGAAACAGGTAATAATAAAAAACTATAATAATAATAATAAATGATGGGATTCGATCCAAGGACATTTAGGCCGTAATCCTGTGCTGTACCCGTTGGGCTATCGAGGCTTACTGGCTTTCTAGATTATGGATGTGCCATGAATATGAGAACACTGTGAGATACATTGAGGCCCACCGTTCAAGGCAATCATGTTTAAACCCTCCTCTGAGGGTCAAAAGGGTTATCCGACACACTTACTCTTCGCAATGTCAGGCGGAAAGTACATTTCATTCATGGTCCTTTCAATAAAGCCATAAAAATGGTAGGTCACTGCTGAAACAAAAAACTTTTTCAAATCGCTCCGTCAGACCATGTCCTCAGAAAAATGTCTAAATCTGCCCGTGCCCCATTGACCTTTGACCTGTGACCTCCAATTTCATCACAGTGGATCGTTTTCCTACACATCGATGCCTATACATCACCATCACGAGCCTAGTCAAGCCGTTTTAAGAGCCGATGTCCATGG